ACCCAGGTAGACCGGGGGACGCCGGAATATGGCGCGTTGCCCACCTTCTTGCAAGTTGTTCGGAGGCGGCCCGGGCGGCAGTTCGAGGAGGAGGAGGAGGGCGCAAAGTCCTTTTGTACGCAGAAATAAGCAGCGACATTGTGTTTTCTTCCCCAGCGGAGATGCGCCTTCCGAGGGTGATGGTCCCCGGGGTAAAGGGAGAGTGGCGCGCCCCTCGGAAGATGCGAAGCTTTGCTTTTGGAGAGGCAGGGGCTCGAGGATGGTTTGGGGCTTGGGGTTGCCCTGCATCACTAGCCTTTCGGGGAGCTCCAAGGTTTGCCGTGCGATACTGTCCATCCCCTCTCACCTGTTGTTTGTTCGTTGCTTCGGGTCCTGAAGTTTCTAACGGTGCATCTGACTTGTGCCCACCAAACTTGAAGTTGTTTCAAAATTTTAGTGTTTTTAGGGTTTCAGATGGTATCTACTCCAGCCAGTTGGAGGAGCTGTTGCCGGGTGTCCAACCATTCTTCCCAACTATTAAATTAGAATATTGTATATTAATTGTTTACTTTAGAGCAGGTGTCATTTGTGCTAAATTTCCTGTGGTCAGAGAAGAATTCACATTTTTATGAGCGTTCAGAGATCATGTATTGGGAGAGGTGTGTGAGAGAGCCTGTCAGCTTGGACAGTGAATGGGAACAGCTTTTGTCCCAGGACGACTTCTGTGCTCACTGTGGGTCTTTTCCCATTTGCATTTCAGCCCGGGCTCTTGAGAACTACCTTTTTCTTTGGCCTTGAACATTAAATTACTGGACTGTACCTCACTTAGGGGAAGGGAAGAGAGGGTGGAGATGCTGTTGTGTGTGTGTTTTGCTTTTTTGATTCTGTGGTATGCTGACTCCCTAGAATTGTTTGAAAGTTCTTGAGAAGTCATCCAGTAAGGTAGTGGAAATTTGACTAGTTCTGTGCATCTGAGTGTGATTTCCTTTTGAGTGCAAAAAAGAAACAAAATTATCATATTAGTGTATTTAATTTGGTCCTAAAATGTGTGCAGAATTTTTTTGTATCAAGGTTTTTTTGCTTTTATTTTGATGATACTGGGGTTCAACCCGGGGCTTTTGCACACACTGGGACATGTCACCGGCCCCCCCCCCCTTTTTTGATTTTGAGACAGGTTCTTGCTATGTTGCCCAGGCTGGGCTCGATCTTGCTGCGATCCTTGGGCCTCAGCCTCCCAGAGTGCTGGGATTACAGGCGTGCTCACCCATACCAGACTGTCAAGGGGCTTTTAAAATTTTTTTAATTTTTTTTTTGTAATGCACTGGATGGAACCCGGGGCTTTGGACACGCAATTGCGCTACCACTAAGCTACATTCCAGCCAGTTTTGTCTTAGACTGAGACTGTTGCTTTCAAAGACCCCCCTCAACAAAAACAATCAGATTAAAAATTACTGTTTACTTATTTGAACTCCTTTGACTTCATCACATTCTCAAAATTGACTTTATAGGCGGAAAAATGACTTTTTGCTTGAAAATAATTTATCTCCAAGCCAGAAGTTTTCGTGCAAATACTTTTCTTACCATGTTTTAAAGAAATTGAGCTCCTAGAGTTAGAGAAGGAACAATAGGTATCTGAGATAATGAGGGACCTTGTCCGCATACACAAGGGATTAAAGGAAAAAGGATTTCAGATTTTCTTCTCAATTGATGTATATTGGAGCCCCAAACTTTTTTGTTTTCTTAACACATACTTTACAAACATCGCTTCTTTAGAAAGCTGAAATCCAACCTGTGTGTGTTGTCTGTATACTATGTAGTTTCAACCAGGTTCCCTTGTTGCCACAAGAAGCATATTATTCGGAATAAGCACAAGTGGGTGGATGTTTTAAGGGATATTTAAGCTTTTTGTCTAGGATTAAATTTTTATACCTTATATGTAGTTAGTCGCTAAATGTTTTTTGGTAAATTATAATAATGATAAACAGCCGTTGAAATTAAATTGTTTTCATATTTGGAAAGGCAGGCTTAATTTTTTGGTTTCTGGGTGGGAGGACAATGAACTGTCAGCCTTTAGAAACCTACTGTTCAGAAAGTTAATGTATAGGACATCATCTGTTAGATGGTTTGGTTTGGTTTTGCATTTTTGTGGTACTGGGTATCGAACCCAGGGCCTTCACATTGAGTCATCCCCCCTCACCTCTTATTTTTTTAATTTTGAGACAGTCTTGCTAAGTTGCCCAGGTGAGATTTGAACTTGTGATCCTTGTGCTTCAGCCTTCCAAGTGCTAGAATTACAGGTGTGGGCCTTTGCGCCTGGCTCTGTCTGATGTCTTTAGACAAGCCCAGTGCTTCATGCTTAAGCAGGCTGATTCTTTGAAAGTTGAAGGGTGAGGGGGCTCTCTCTAAGCTCTTGAGTTTCACAAATGCCTCCTCTAAACTCAGGAATTTACCGGCAATCTTTCTAGGCCTGTAATCGGTCCAGGAAATAGGATATTTGATGTTATATTTGTATATGACTGTGTGTAGTGGTTATTAATACATATATAAATAGCATTTGGAAAACCAATCCAAAAAATAAATATCAATCTTTGATTTTGTGAAAAAAAATTTCAAAAAATGTGCTATGCTAAAGGAAGTATTCTTTCTTTCTTTCCTTTGTTTGTTTGTTTTGAGACAGGGTCTCGCTGTATAGTTCAGGCAGCCCCTGAACTCATTATATAGCCCAGGTTGATCTTGAACTTGTGGCACTCCTCCTGCCTCAGCCTCCTAAGTGCTGGGATTACAGGCATGTGCCACCCTACCTGGGTAAAGCTACTATTTACAATTTGAGCTTATCCAAATGTACTTTCCCACAAATGTTTAAACAGTGATTTTTTTTTTTAAACTTGCTTGTTAAGTTTCTTTTAGTAATACTACATTTAGACCAAATCAAATGTTTTTTGAGCTTGAGGATGCACGTTAATTTTTTTGTGTTATGTATTATAAATTACTTCTTGGTAATTAGAGTGGATTTTCCACTTTCTTGGGTATTCAGTTAATACTTTTATCAGAATTCTAAGGTGAACAGACTAGAAGTGAAATAGTAAAAGGAGTTGAAATAAATCAGTTTCAGATATTTCTGGGAGATTATAACCATATTGAATTACTGGAAGTTTTCAATCCTGGAGCAAACATAATGCTGTATTTAATCTAATGCAATATGGACAAAACTTGGAAAATAAATTTTTGATACTTGAGAAAAATACGATTGAGATATATATTATATATATATGCATACACACTCTTTTTCCTAAAGTGCAAAATTAGGGTAATGTGTTTTCAATCTCATTCAATGCAGTTTGTTTACCAAGACATCAAAAAAGGCTTTATCATGTGGCCTTTATGGCTAAAGCATCCTAAAATATGAACATTTATGTATTATAAAGTTAAACCTTCTGTTATGAATTGAAGAAAAATCAAAAGTATAACTTTTTGAGATGTTAAGAAGTATATTAAAAAGCAAACCATTTGCCCTTCTGGTATACCTGTTATATTTGTGATTCCTTGAGGAAAATACTGTATGTAATATAGCACTAATAGCAGTCACTTTTAAAAACAATATAACCATAAAGAATCTTGTCTTGTATCCCAGGCAGGGTAGTTTGCCTTGCACAACCACAAAACAGTTTAAAATGCCACCAGCTATAGAACCATTAGATAATTTCTTGAGGAAACCATGTCTAGTAATGGAGAAGAGGGGAAGGGGGGAGAGAGAGAGAGAGAGAGAG